TACTGAGTCTTTATAAACTGGCAAGATCACCAACAGGTAATCTGTTAGGCTTTTATTCGCATTTGCATCTCTTATTATCCTTAGTAGCGTCCTCCAGTTTACCGAGTTTTCTGTAGGAATATCCCTGATAACGAGAGGAATGCTTTGGTGGATTTTAACTACGTTAAAAAATTGTAACCCATTGCTTCCTGGAATATTTTCCGCCCAGCTCGTATTATGTGATTTGAATGTTAATCTCAGTCCTCAAAACCTTTTTCTTCTACAGGCACCGAGCCTGCTCTCGTTTATCCTGAGCAATCTCAGGGATAGAGACGGCAAACCCATCTGGAAGGTTAATGTCAACGCTGTTGCAGAGAACTTGGACGAGATCATGGGCTTTCCGTACACTCTTGATGACACTATTTCCTACAACGGACCGTCCCGCTTCATTGCTGGTCAACGTTCGTCTCATATAAAGTGAGTTTTCGTCTGAAACAACCACATGTTTTGCAGGCTGTGGACAGCTAGGCCACTAACCACAGAATGCTTGATTTTGCCAACAGTTTCTCATCACATTAAGGCCATCACTCACTTGAACCAACTATCGAGACTCAGTTTTGGGCTACTTAGCAGTCCAGTGTACTTTGGGGCGGTAAAAATTGCTTTCGATAACCCTATTTTGTATGGAAGAAGGGAGGGTCGGCAAAACAAGTACAGGTTCCGACTCCGCTGGAGAGCGAGAGTTGGTGCGCACGTACTTCTTGATGGAAATAAAAATATGCATGACAATAGCGCACTTTTATTTTGACGAAAGATGTGAAAAAAGTAGTAATCACACATACAAATAAACGCATGGTTCACTTTTACATGCCGCTATTGAGTCGGTCGTTGGCACATCTTCGTCAAGCCTACTCCCATCGCTGAAGCATGCCGCGAGGCTTACCTACACAGCTAGGGGTGCGACAAGGTCCCAGTGAGTTTAAGGGTTGGGCACAGCACCTGCGTAGGTTACTTGATAGATCATATTGATAGTACAGGTACTAGCTAAAAGCCAAAGCACCTGCTTCGTCCTTATTATACGGCAGTGCCACCTCAGCAAAATCTGACTTACCTGAATACATGCAACAGAGTAAATACGACATGGCGATGCTCATAGGAAACAAAATTATGGTTCTTCACAACCCTTGCTGCCATCCTTTGCAATTTTGATATTTTGCGATCTCCTCGAACGAGCTCTATATTTGAAGGGAGCAATAATCGGTAGACTGTCATTTAGCTTCCTATCTGTGTACGCAGACCACCTTTTTATATCTAACACTGGACCGCTTGACCTTCTGATCGTCTTAATATAGTGGTCTTTAAAAACAACGAAACTTAGTCCCCCAGATCAAAAATGACCTATTATGCATATAGTATTTTTACTTACTGTTCGAACCCCTTTTTTTCTTTTAAGTCAGGGTGGGACGCACTTCTCTGTTTTAAACTTAAAAAAAATTAGTGGACTACTCACGGAGTCCGTTAATGCTTTAGTGCGGGACGCGTTTGAGCACTTACCATATTTTAATGTAATTTGCAAAAGTCGGCGTAAAACAAACTCGAGCGTGGTTCCGGCACCGAGCCCCGAGCAACTTGGTTCTCCCAGCCTGTGATGGTGGACTGGATGGTGGAATAATCCTATCCCGTGCACATAATTTGTCTTTTCTCCGTAATAGTAATTTTCAGTAGTATTACTATTATTTGATCAAAATATGTTTTGCCTATCTGAATTCCCTTCTCGCAATGCGAATTGCGCGTCTGCAGTCGCATCTACCGCACCTGTGGTCCTAGGCTATTCGGCCCTGTCACACTCTTACTCGCATCGACCTAAAAACCGACTGCTGACGACATGGCAGGTTCATCTGCTCTTGTCACAGCAAGGGCGTATCATGGTCGCATCTCCGGTTCTTAGGGACGTTCTCGTGATTCTGAGGTCTCCTCGTATGGACCTTCGGATGTAGACATTACTCGCCATGGACCCCATAGCTGCCGCCAACATTCACAGCAGCATCCTGGTCCTATCTTTCACGGGCGACAGTTTTCTCCTAAAAACCACAAATGACATTCCATTTTGAATTATGAG